AACCATACATAGATAAATATATGCTAAATGCCTCATCTCTTACTTCTTTTTCTACATCCCTCCTTATTTTTTTATGTACATGATCTATGTGTTTGTTTATGTTTATTTTTGTATCCTTTTGATAATGTCAAATAGAAAAAAAATATGATCTCGAAAAGAATATAGTATACACTATTTGTTATGGAGAGTTCAACCACTCCAATCTATCATAGTGATTTTTCTATTTTGTTCATATTATCTACTTTTAATAATAATATCTTGAATTACAAATATTATTTTAAGATGAAACTTATATCATATAAAAACTAGAAATATTGTCTACACTAAGGATAAATAAGATTGTTTCAAATACGATTGTTCTAACAAGTCGAGTTTGAACTGAATCGAATTCGGCCAATTCTTAACGAATTGAAGAAAAAAAATTCGTGATAAACTCAAACTCGAACTCAGTCAATTCTTAACGAATCGAGTTTGAACTGGAAAAAAAATTGTAATGAACTCGACTAATTCTTAACGAGTCGAACTGAGCTGAGACAAGTTTGACTCGACTCGACTGATTTCCAACCCTAGTGAAATAATCTCAATAGTGGTGCTATGTATTTTTGTCCAGAATAATTTTAACGATTTTTCACCTTCATCCTTGCACTAGTCATCTAATATAAAATATATCTTAGGCTTAAAGATGTGTACTATACTATATCCATTAACAAACACCACATTACTATAGTAGAGTAAAGCTCCTGAAATAATAATAGAGAAATGCACCAAACAAACATGTCAAAAATCTCCATGAATCACAATGAACAAAACCATGCAGAAATCACATAAACCAATAACAATGCAAAAAAATTGAAGAGTAGTTTAAATAATAACACATTTAGAAATAAAGTATTTATATAAAGATCTTCAGATTAAAATCTAGAAATAATGAGAATATATGAAAACCAACAGAACATTTTTATGTCACGAACAATTACCATCAACATGCAGATTTTGGAACACATTATAACCACATTTTACCGAATAAAGGATGGAGACTTTGCCAAATGTGCCAAAGAAAACATTCATCATTATCGAAAGCCTCAACCACACTGTTCATCCTACAAAATGAAAAGTTTTCTATAGAATCTTGCTTAATTAATCCTGGCAGGTCAGACAATCAAAATAACTGAAAAAGTACACAAATAGAAAAAATGACCAGTTCTATCAAAAGGTTGTGGTAAATCTCAGCAGCCACTTTAACAGCCAACTTTTAGGACCTATAACCCCGATGATAAAAATCATAGAGAATTAAAATTGGACATTCTTAGAAACAATGACTGAATTGTACTGCTCGAATTCCTTAGAAAATATCTTATGGTCTGCAGAACATGATGGTTCCACTAATGAATTCTGGTGCCAAATGAAATCCTTAGAGAGGAAACAAATTCCTATTCCTATATATCTTAAATAACAGAAACAAACAGTAAAAGAGCACAAGAATAACTCTCTTTAGAAGTAGATCATCAAATCAAACAGGTCACAAATTGATGACAAACAGAGAAGGTAGCAAGAAGAGATACATGTAAATTAACAGTAATCATCATTGTAACCCAAGGCTTGATGCTACAAAGAAATTAATTGCTTCAACACAGTAAGCCATATCAAAACCAAGTGTCACAAACTCACATGTCCAACAACTCCAACAGGACCTTTTTTAATATTCAAAAAGAAAACTGCCGACGGACTATCAATATCAATACAAATCCTTATAATTTCAACAAATACACGAACACATCCTCTCCTGGTCGTGAGAAGACTTGGGTTGGTCGTGTTTTGTAACTAGACTGCATTCACATAATGGCTTTTAGAGCTTTTTAAAAATTCAATTTTGAATCATATGACAAGCCAATGTCCAATGTTCTATGAAACTTTTAGAGGAGAGTTATTGGTAAGTCAAATGAAAACTGATATATTGAAGATGATAAAGAAGAACGAATTCCAAAATTGAAACCCAAATAGAACCCGTAAAATCACGTGGTAAATAATGACCTTTTATAACCTAAGGCTCAAAGGATGTCCTTGATAAGATGATCTCGCCACAACTTTCACAGTTACTCCCTGTGACCCACAAAGTATTCCCCACTTCTAACGTAGAAAGTTGTTCTCTAGTCTAGGATCTTTTATGCTTCAATACCATGCTCCTGCTACAAAAATACCAAAAATCCAACATTCCCAGAACACAACATAAAAAAAATACGGATATCATAAAAAAGAAGGGCAGTATCCCAATGTTGGAAGAATAGTATGTTTACCTCTGTTTCCACAGGCCACAGCACACCACTTTCATAGGTTGTCTCTGTCTCCCCCTATAACACTCGCAGAAAAATCAAAGGAATTCAAAAGTGGCAAGTATCAAACACTGAAAAGTAAATTGTCTTTCTTAGTATCAAACACGCCGCTTTCATAGGTTGTCTTTGTCTCCCCCTATAACATCGCAGAAAAATCAAAGGAATTCAGAAGTGCCAAGTATCAAACACACTGAAAAGTAAATTGTCTTTCTGCTAAGAAATGACCAAATTAAAGAATACAACACAACCTCTGAAGACACAAGGGTTAATGGACACAAACTTCTTGTACCCAATATGAAACATGACAGTTTGAGCTTTCGCCTAATACCAAATCGTCAAAACGTACCTAACCAAGTTATCCAAATTAAATCCTAGAAATACGTACCAGACCCTTCTTTATTTTTTACCTTCTTTATTCTTTCACCAAAGGTAATTTATACAAAGCAGTAGAGAGACCCACAAACTTTTCCGAATGTCTCCAAGATTATGTAAACTTTTGCACTTTCTCAATACAAAAACCCAAATGTAGAACAAATGTTTGTAAGTAGTATTGATGTTAAGAACCCTTAAGACTGAACTTTTCAATTAAACATCAATAGACTAATCAAAAGAGCCATATTTCAATTCACATGTATGGCGATAAAAGCCAGAACTAAATCAAACCTCAGAATCAAAAAAACCGAAAGGAATCAGAATACAAAACATGAATAATATGCTCACAAACTAATTTTCCTGCAAGACCAGAGGATATAAAAGATCAAGAATAATATGCTTTTAAAAGGAGTAAAGAATTATTGAAATCTAGCAGATTTTGAAAGAGATCACCAAATAAAAACTTCTATATATATCGAAAACTATTTTGACAAACCAAGCTGCAGAAAACCAGGTTTAGAATTAAAATCATATGTCTTGTGATTAAAGTCTGAAAATAAAAATAATAAAGAACGCCTTCTTTCTATAACCATTATTATTCTTATCCATTGTAATCAAGAATTGCAAACTGCTCAAGATACCTAGAAATCAGCCTGCTGCAATACGGATAAACACGAGTCAAAATTCTTTTAATTTAAGAGCATTGAACGATTATCGGATGAAGCATTATATATAAAAAAAAATACACAAATTATTAAAATAAAATTGAAAAAACAGTCTATTAAAACCCAAACAGGACCATTAAAAAAAGAACAACAAACTCCAAGATCAAAACCAGCAAGAACCAGATAAAACCCCTACATCATAAGACCAATGTAACAAAGGATAAAAAATATAGATTACTTAAAAACTTGAATATCAAAGAATGAATTGTGCTCATATCTACCTATATATTATATTTCCTATTACATCTCCTGTAACACAAGAGGAAATAAGGAAGATTGAATCAGAAGGAATTGTGTTCATATATACCAATATATTACATCTCATGTCTTACTAAGAGAAATCAAATCCCTATGACGCCCACATAGAACTCGTAAAAGAATCAAGAAAACTAATCATAAAGAATTCAATCAGAGGAGAGATCACCACTTGAAAGAACAACAGCAGCAGCAAATTGCAGATTCTGTGAGCGACACTCATTTGGGAAAGAAAATTCTTATTGTTTTGCTTATTTATATATAATACGTTGAAAAGAAAATAATTATAACAAGACAAATACCTCCGAACAATGCCAAACCATGTTGTCCAGAATTCCTCAACCTCCCTAAGATGTAAGATGTAATTTAGAACTTCGTATGCTTCATATTCACGTTCCTGATGCAGAAACAGGAAAACCCCAACTGTAGCAAGAAATGCCATCAAAGAAAAAAACTATCACAAATCCGAAAACTTATGCACATACGTAAGTAATAATACAATAATAAATTTTTTTCCAGGCTGACCACTAAGTATGCGAACATCTTCTTGGCACATGTTCCATAGCAAATCACAAGGGACTGACAAAAGAGTATGAAAAAAACTGAAATGTGAAGAGTAGAGATGACCAAATTGAGGCCTGACAACAGGATGTACTATGAAATATAAGACACAGCATGCAAAAGATGATGATTCAGTGGAACAAATTTCCATCCTAATACAGAAGAGTACTTTGACCACTGCAAGGAAGAGGATATTTTTCAAAGTATAATATAATCATCCTCAGAAATCACATGACAATAAAAAGAATTTTAAAAAAATAGTAAAAGAAGATTACAGTTACAAATGAAATGAAAACAATTCAACTCTATAGAAGAAATGAAATGAAAACAATTCACAATTTAAGTTAGAGATCCACCAAATAAATGGATAACAATGAGAATATATATGGCACATCCAATTACCAATCGGTGTCTGTGAAAAGACAAACATTTATACTTCTTCAGTGTGTCAAATACCATTTTGCTGGAGAAGATTTTTAAATATTACAACAAAGGAAGTGAGGGATACCCATTAAGGAGAGAAAATTTTAATTGTTAGTATAATATATCACATTTAATAAGTGCCACACGGCAGAATATCATCAAATTGTTAGCAGAGCAACTATTCCAAAACATAAAATAAGTGCCAAACACTGCAGAGTATCATCAAATTTTAGATATGAAGGTAATCCTAGCCTCCATGCAAAATGAATAAGAGTCTGGAAAAGTCGTATGCCAGAAAAATAGAAATAATTAAGAACTGAGAAATTTGATTTCTCTAAAGTCGTTCTCCATTCTTATCCATTGCATCAAGAATCCCAAATTGCTGCAAAACCGTTCTTATCCATTGCATCAAGAATTCCAAATTGCTGCAAAACAAATACATGAATATCTTGATTATCCAATGAATAATTATATCAAAAGATTCTTGATAATTTAACCCAAGAATTCTCAATATCTACAATCGAAAATCAAATCAATAATAACCAAATCCCTAAAATCTTCCTCTAGCGGATCAAGAAACAAAGAAAAGCAAACCATGAAATATAATAAGAATTTACCATAGATCACCAAATCAAAACTCAGGGCTGCTATGGAGTACATTTTTAAGAAACCACAGTGCAGCAAAATAGATTCATAATTCACTGCATATTTCTCTCGAGTATCGATCAAAATTAACATAGAAGGATTCATTTCAGAAATTTGATTTATATGATATTCTCGGTTATTATTTTGGGAATTTAAAATGGCTGAATTATGATTTATATGATATTCTCGGTTATTATTTTGGGAATTAAAAATTCAAGAATGGTTCTGTAATGCAGTATTCAACTTGCTGAACATCAAATAGATTCTTAATACCACGAAAAAACTTATCAGCAGTAAATGAGAAAGTTATAGTAGAACTATTTGAAATATAGTTATAACTTGTCATATAGTAAAAGTTTGTCTCTGAATTGTTTAAATAATAACTGTAGTGATAACAGATTAAGAAATACATTAAAATTAGAGTAGTTTAAATAATAATCGAAGTGATAACACATTAAGAAATACATTATTTATATACAAATAGAGAACTTTAGATTAAAATCTAGAAATAATGAGAATAAATATATGAAACAACCAACAAAATATTTATATGTGGAACAATTGTTATCAAATTGCAGATTTTGGAGCTCAATATAAACCACAATTTACCAAATAAAGGAAGGAGACTTTGCCAAATGTGCCAGAGAAAATACCATGCTCCTGCTACAAAAATAAAGGAAGGAGACTTTGCCAAATGCAGAAATATGTACTCTAGTCTAGAATCTTGTATGCTTCAATACCATGCTCCTGCTACAAAAATACCAAAAATCCAACATTCCCAGAACACACCATCCAAAAAATACAGATACATAAAAAAGAAGGGCTGTATCCCAACGTTGGAAGAGTAGTATGTTAACCTCTGTTTCCACAGGCCACACCATACCACTTTCATATGTTGTCTCAGTCTCCCAGATAACACTCGCAAAAAAATCAAAGGAATTCAAAATTGAGTATCAAACACACTGAAATGTAAATTGTCATTCTTAGTAGAAATGACCAAATTAAAAAGTACACAACCTCTGAAGACGTGATGGTTAATGGACACAAACTTCCAGCTAATTTGCAAGTACTTATACCCTATATGAAACATGACAGTTTGAGCTTCCACCTAATACCAAAGGAGCTATTGGGCCTACATCATAAATCAGAAATAACAACAGACCCCAGGGAACAGATCGTCAAAACGTGCCTAAACAAGTTGTCCAAATTAAATCCTATAAAAAGCAGCAGAGACACTTATTTCCAATTTCTTTATACATCCACCTTTATTCTTTCACCAAAGATAATTTATACAAAGCAGCAGAGATACTTATCTCCAATTTCTCCACTATAGACCAACTAAAAAGGTGGGAGTTTGATTCAGAATTAAGAAAACTTTTGTTGGACGGCAAACTTTACTCTGTTAGCAACAGCCGATAAATGCAGAAAAATCAAACTGTGGTAGATACATCGTTGAAAAAGAACCAAGAAGAAAAGAAAGAATATAGCATAATTCTCCAAACCAAGTTGCAGATCAGTATAACAGAGAGCGGCCCATAAACTTTTCCGAGTGTCTCCAAAATTATGTAAGCTTGCACTTTCTCAATACAAAAACGCAAATGTAGAACAAGTAGTAGTCACGTTAAGAACCCTTAAGACTGAACTTCTCAAACATCAATAGACTAATCAAAACAGAAACATCAAATTGGAATTCATAGTAATAAATAAGAAGATTAGACTAATATAATCGGCAGAGAAGAAATCAATTGAAAAAAATCCAAGTACCAAAATAAACTCGCAGCTTGATACTACGCATAATACACTACACTGCAAAAAAAAAGGCGCCATATTTCAATTCACATGTTGGCGATAAAAGCCAGAACTAAATCAAACCTCAGAATCAAAAAAACGTAAAGGAATGAGAATACAAAACATGAAAAATAATCCTTCCCTGCAAGACCAGATGAAATAAAAGATAAAAACTAATATGCTTCTAAAAGAAATAAAAAATTATTGAAAACTAGGAGATTTTAAAAGAGATCACCAAATCAAAACTCAGGCTCCATGGTATATATTGAAAATTATTTTGACAAACCCAAGCTGCAGAAAAAACAGGTTTAGAATGAAAATCATGTCTTGTGATTAAAGTCTTAAAAATAAAAATAATAAAGAATGACTCCTTTCTATAACAATTATCGTTCTTATCCATTGTAATCAAGAATTGGAAACTGCTCCATACACCTAGAAATAAGCTTGCTGCAATACGTATAAAGACGTGTCAATATTCTTTTAATTTAAGAGCATTGAACAATTATCAAATGAAGCATTATATAAAAAACTACACAAATTATCAAAATAAAATTGGAAAAACAGTCTATTAAAACCCAAACAGGGCCATTAAAAAAGAACAACAAACTCCAAGATCAAAACCAGCAAGAAGCAGATCAAATCATAAGACCAATGTAACCAAGGGAAAAAAAAGAGACTACATAAAAACTTGAATATCAAAGACAAAGAGACTACCTGTATCAAATCACAACGTTGGAAGAATAGTATGTTAACCTCATTACCTCAGGCCACAACACACCACATTCACATGTTGTCTCAGTCTCCCAGATAACCCTCGCAAGAAAAAAGGAATTCAAAATTGCCGAGTATCAAACACACTGAAATGTAAATTGTCTTAGTAGAAATGACCAAAATAAAGAGTACAACACAACCTCTGAAGACGTGATGGTTAATGGACACAAACTTCCAGCCAACTTGCAAGTACTTATACCCAATATGAAACATGACAGTTTGAGCTTCCACCTAATACCAAAGGAGCTATTGGGATTACATCATAAATCAGAAATAACAACGTATCCAAGGGAATTATGGTGCCCGATGAAATCCTTAGAGAGGAAACGAATTCCTATTTTTATATATCATAAATAAGAGAAACAAACAGTAAAAGAGTACAAGAATAACTCTCTTTAGAAGTAGCTAATCGAATCAAGCACGCCTACAAATTGGTGAAAAATAAAGAAGGTAGCGAGAAGAGATATTCATGTAAGTGAACAGTAATTGTCAATGTCACCAAATTAAATAAACCAAGGCTATGCTACAAAGAAATTAATTGCTTCAACACAGTAAGCCTGATCAAAACCAAGTGTCACAAACTCACATGTCCAATAACTCTCAGAGGACCTTTTTTAGTATTAAAAAAGAAACACCTCACTTTGTTTTTTAAAACCGCCGACAGTATCAATATTTTTTGACTTGCCATCAACTATAAGCAGACTGGTAATTTGAGATTGAGTAATCTTTTACCTTATTGTGATTTAGAATATCAATACAGAAATCAACAAGCATACGAGAGGCCAATGTCCAATGCTTTATGAAAAACAAGTTCAAATGAAGTGGAACTACTTTAGCCAAGAAAACAACATACAGCTGTTTCAGAGTAGAGTTATTGGTAAGCCAAGTGAAAACTGATATCTGGAACTTGATAAAAGAAGAACAAATTCCAAAATTGAAACCCACAAATAGAACCCAAAGAAATCACGTGGTAAAATAATGACCTGTTTTGTCCTTAAGGCTCAAAGGATGTCCTTGATAAGATAATCTCACCACAGCTTTCACAGTCCATATACTCCCTGTGACACCCACAAAGTATAGATTACAAAATAAAAACACATTAACTGTGATAATATATGTCACAGCCAATTGCAGATTGATGCTCCATGTGAAACGGTAAAAATTTGGGCTTCCGTACTTCGACAATTATCCATTTGGTAGAAAAGATTCTTATTCTTATATATAATAGAAATGACAAGAATCTAGTAGTAATTAAAACAAAGGAAGTAGCAGGCAATCAGAAAAATAAAAAGTGAGCTAAACCAAGTTGTCAAGAATTCATTGGCTCAGGCAGAAAGTTGTGCTCTAGTCTAGAATCTAGTATGCTTCAATACCATGCTCCTGCTACGAAATACCAAAACTCTAACACTCCCATACACACCATCAAAAAAAATATAGATATCATAAAATAAAGGGTTGTATCCCAACGTTGGAAGAATAGTATGTTAACCCCTGTTTTCACCGGCCACAGGCCACCACTTTCATGGGTTGTCTCTGTCTCCCCTATAACACTCATAGAAAAATCAAAGGAATTCAAAATTGCCAAGCATCAAACACTCTGAAATGTAGATCGTCTTTCTTAGTAGAAATGACCGAATTAAAGAATACAAGCTTTTGAATAGTATACAACACAACCTCTGAAGACATGATGGTTAATGGACACAAACTTCCAGCCAATTTGCAAGTACTTGTACCCAATATGAAACATGACAATTTGAGCTTTCCTAATACCAAAGAAGTTATTGGGCCTACATATAAAGCAGAAATAACAGCAGACCCCATGGAACAATCGCCAAAACGTACCTAACCAAGTTGTCCAAATTAAATCCTAGAAACCAAATCCCTGCGACACCCACACAGAACTCGTGAAAGAATCAAGAAAACTAATGGTGAAGAATTCAATCAGAGGAGAGATCACCACATGAAAGAACAACAACAGCAGCAAATTGCAGATTTTGGTGCTCCAATTGCAGATTCTGTGAGGGACACTCATTTGGGAAAGAAAATTCTTACTCTTAAGCTTATATATAATACATTGAAAAGAAAATAGGGGAAATAGTTATAACAAGGCAAATACCCCCGAACAATAGAATGCCAAACCATGTTGTTCAAAATTCCTCAACCTCCCTACAAGATGCAAAAGAGCAATCATTTAAAACCCTAACAAAATAATAGTACACGGTAACTTCCAAGGTCAAAACTAACAAAAAAAACCAAATCAAACCTAAGAATCAAGAAATCAAAATCAACAGCCATGAATGGAGATCAAACAAGAGGAAAATAGAACTAGAAGAAACTGTGTATATCCTGCAACACCGGAGTGTAAACACCAAATCAAGGAAGATAGAACTAGAAGAAATTGTATATTCTGCAACACCAGAGTGTAAACACCAAATCAAGGAAGATATGCTCTTTCAAAATCGATAAGAAAATATTGAAAATAAAAAGAATTTAATAAAGATCACCAACTCAGAAATCAAAACTAAGCTCCATGCTATGAAAATGGTTATTAGTTGGACAACCACACTGCAGAAAAACAAGTTCTGAAACAAATTTGTATGCCTTGCAATCAAAGGCCAGAAATAAAATATATAGTAAGGAATGACCCTTAGAAAAATTTTATTTAGCTATTTGGAGTTATTTTATGTTCTTGTTGTAATATCAAAACATTCTAGAAATCCACCAAACTTCTCACCTGACAAAGAAACCGAGAAATTCATCTCTTAATTGTTAAATGAAGAATTAAATCTAAGTTATAGAAACAATGCTAGCCCAATAATCTGTAAGAGAGCCGAAACAATTCTAGCCCAACAATCTGTGAGAGTCAAGAGAAGTATGTTTGTGTGAACAAAAACAAGTTTTAGAATCAAGAAATCAAAAGCACATCCTCTCCTGCAAAATCAAAAGAGAATAAAAAGTCAAGAAATCAAAAATCATATTCTCTCTTGCAACTTAAAAAGAGTAAATAACAAACCAAGAAACATTTTTTGTCAAGAAATATTTTGTCTACAGAGGAATACTATACGGAAAGAATCTAAGAAGACACCCAAATTAAAAGTCAAGGCTCCAATGCAATGAAGGTTATTAATAAGAAAAACCGTGCTGCAGAAGAGATATGTTCACAGTTCATTTGGAATGTCTTGAAATCAAAGCAAAGAAATAAAAATAACAAATAACGAATTGTGAAAAATTGGATTTATCTGGGGAAACACAAAGTTCAACAAGTCAAAAAACAACTTCAAGAAAGATACGCTCTCAGAATTGAAAACAAAAATAAATGAATAAAGATCACCGAATCAAAAACTTAGACTGATGCATGCTTTGTGTATAATCCTAGCCACGCTGCAAAATGGATAAACATATCTCTTAATTATCAAATGAAAACCGTGTCATGTCGGTTTCGCACGATCATTCGTATCAATACGCAACGCAAATCCATTAAGAAAATACAATCAGCAATAAGAGAAAACCTATCAAGCCGCATCGCAAATCCAATAAGAAAACATAATCAGCAATCTGAGAAAACCTATCAGGACGCAACGCAAATTCGTCAAGAAAACATGGTCAGCAATCTAACAAAGCATTATCATTTATCAAGATAACGCAAATCCATGGAAAAAACAGTTAAGAATAGATAATTGAAGAAATTTGGTTTCCCTAAAGTCATTTTTATCCAAATTTTCATCAATCTTTAAAAATCCCAAATCAAGAATCCCAAATTGCTGCAAAACAGATAAATAAATATATGACACAACCAACAGAACATTTATGTTTGATACAATTAGTATAAAGTTGCAGATTGTGGAGCTCAATATAATCACAATTTACCGATTTTAAAGGATGGAGAGTTTGCCAGATGCACCAAAGAAAATATTCATCAAAAACGAAAGCCTAAACCACGCTGTTAATCCTACAAAATGAAAAGTTTTCTACAGAATCTTGTTTAATTAATCCTCGCAGATCAGACAATCAAAAGATACTGAAAGTACAAATAGAAAAATGACCAGTTCTGTCACAATGTTGAGGTAAATCTCAGCAGCTACTTTAACATCCAACTTTTAGGACCTATAACACCGACAATAAAAATCAATGAATTAAAATTGCACAATCTTAAAAACAATGACTGAATTGTACTGCTTCAATTCCTTAGAAAATATCTTACAGTCTGAAGAACATTATGGTTCCAATAATGAATTATAGCGATGAAATCATTAGAGAGGAAACGAATTCCTATTATATATCATAAATAAGAGAAACAAACAATAAAAGAGTACAATAATAACTCTCTTTAGAAGCAACTCATCAAATCAAGCACGCCTACAAATTGATGAAAAATAAAGAAGGTAGAAGAAGAGACATACAGGTAAGTCAACATTAATTGTCATTGTCACCAAATTAAACAAACCAAGGCTATGCTACGAAGAAATTAATTGCTTTAACACAGTAAGCCTGATCAAAACTAAGTGTCACAAACTCACATGTCCAATAACTCCCACATGACACCTTTTTTAATATTCGAAAAGAAACACCTCACTTTGTTTTTTAAAACTGTCGACAGGCGATCATATTTTTGGACTTGCCATCAACTATAAGTAAACTGGTAATTTGAGATTGAGCAATCTTTCACCTTATTTTGATTTCGAATATCAACAGAGAAATCAACAAACCTAGATGAACACATCCTCGCCTGGTCCTGAGAAGACTTGGGGTTAGTAATGTTTTGTAACTAGACTATATTCACATAATGGCTTTTAGAGCTTTTCAAAATTTTAAATTTGAATCATATGACCAATGCTTTATGAAAAACAAGTTCAAATGAAGTGGAACTACTTTAGCCAAGAAAACAACATACAGCTGTTTCAGAGTAGAGTTATTGGTAAGCCAAGTGAAAACTGATATATGGAACTTGATAAAAGAAGAACGAATTCCAAAATTGAAACCCACAAATAGAACCCGGAGAAATCACGTGGTAAATAATGACCTGTTTTATCCTTAAGGCTCAATAGACGTCCTTGATAAGATAATCTCACTACAGCTTTCACAGTCCATATACTCCCTGTGACACCCACAAAGTATAGATTACCAAATAAAAACATATTAACTGTGATAATATACGTCACAGCCAATTGAAGATTGATGCTCCATGTGAAACGGAAAAAATTTGGGCTTCCCTACTTCGACAATTATCCATTTGAGAGAAAAGATTCTTATTCTTATCTATAATACAAATGACAAGAATCTAGTAGTAATTATAACAAAGGAAGTAGCAGACAATCAGAAAAATAAAAAGTGAGCTAAACCAAGTTGTCAAGATTTCATTGGTTCAGGCAGAAAGTTGTGCTCTAGTCTAGAATCTTGTATGCTTCAATACCATGCTCCTGCTATGAAATACCAAAACTCCAACACTCCCATAACACAACATCAAAATAAATATAGATATAATAAAATAGGGTTGTATCCCAACATTGGAAGAATAGTATGTTAACCTCTGTTTTCACAGGCCACCACTTTCATAGGTTGTCTCCGTCTCCTCTATAACACTCACAGAAAAATCAAAGGAATTCAAAATTGCCAAGCATGAAACACTCTGAAATGTAAATTGTTTTTCTTAGTAGAAATGACCGAATTATAGAATACAAACTTTTGTATAGTATACAACACAACCTCTGAAGACATGATGTTAATGGACACAAACTTCCAGCCAATTTGCAAGTACTTGTACCCAATATGAAACATGACAGTTTGAGCTTCCACCTAATACCAAAGGAGCTATTGGGCCCACATCATAAACCAGAAATAACAACAGACCCTAGGGAACAGATCATCAAAACATACCTAACCAAGTTGTCCAAATTAAATCCTAGAAAACATATACCAATTTATTACATCCCGTGCCTTGATAAGAGAAATCAAATCACTTAACACCCACATAGAACTAGTGAAAGAGTCAAGAAAACTAATTGTGAAGAATTCAATCAGAGGATATATCACCACATGAAAGAACAACAACAGCAACAAATTGCAGATTCTGGTGCTCCAATTGCTCCAATTGCAAATTCTGTGAGGGACACTCATTTGGGAAAGAAAATTATTACTCTTAAGCTTATATATAATTCATTGAAAAGAAAATAGGGGAAATAGTTATAACAAGGCAAATACCCCCGAACAATAGAATGCCAAACCATGTGTCCAAAATTCCTCAACCCCCCTAAGATGCTAAGATGCAAAAGAGCAATCTTTTAAAACCCTAACAAAATAATAGTATACAGTAACTTCCAAAGGTCAAAACTGACAAAAAAACAAATCAAACCTAAGAATCAAGAAATAAAAAAATCAACAGCCATGAATGCAGATCAAACAAGAGGAAAATAGAACTAGAAGAAACTGTGTATATCCTGCAACACCAATCGATAAATAAATATTGAAAATAAAAAGAATTTAATAAAGATCACCAAATCAGAAATCAAAACGCTAAGCTCCATGCTATGAAAAAGGTTATTAGATGGACAACCACACTACAGAAAAACAAGTTCTGAAATCAATTTGTATGCGTTGCAATCAAAGGCCAGAAATAAAAAATATAGTATAGAATGACCCTTTGAAAAATTTTATTTAGCTATATGGAATTATTTTATGTTCTTGTTGTTGTATCAAAACATTCTAGAAATCCACCAAACTTCTCAGCTGACAGAGAAACCAATAAATCCATCTCTTAATTGCTAAATATAAGTTATAGAAACAATTCTAGCACAACAATCTGTAAGAGCATCGAAACAATTCTAAGTATGTTTGTGTGAACAAAAACAAGTAGCTTTAGAATCAAGAAATCAAAAGGATGTAATTTAGAACTTCGTATGCTTCATATTCACATTCCTGGAAAACTCCAACTATAGCAGGACCTTTTTTTAGTATTCGAAAAGAAACACCTCACTTCGTTTTTTAAAACTGCCACAGTCTATCAATATTTTTGGACTTGCCACCCACAGAGATTGAGTAATCTTTCACCTTATTTGGACTTAAGGGTGTTTTGTAACTAGACTGCATTCATGTAATGGCTTTTAGAGCTTTTCAAAAATTCAATTTTGAATCATATGACAAACCAATGTCCAATGTTTTATGAAATACAAGTTCAAATATTGTGAAATCAAAATTGTTGGACTAGCCACCCAGAGATTGAGTAGCCTTTGTTTTGTAACTAGACTGCATGCATTCACATTATGGCTTTTAGAGCTTTTAAAAAAATCAAATTTGAATCATATGACAAGCCAATGTCCAATGTTTTATGGAACACAAGTTCAAATAAAGTGGAACTACTTCAGCCAAGAAAACAACATACCAGCTATTTCAGAGTAGAGAAATGAAAACTGATGTATTGAAGGTGATAAAATAAGAACAAATTCCAAAATTGAAACCTGCAAATATAACCAGAATAAATCATGTGGTAAATAATGACCCGTTTTATTCTAAGGCTCAATATAGCCCCTGTGACAGTACATAAAACCCCTGTGACAGCACACCATATAGATCACCAAATGAAAACATAATAACTGATAATATATGCCACAACCAATTGCAAATTGATGCTCGATGTGAAGCGGAAAAATTTAGGCTTCCCCACTTCAACAAATATCCATTTGGAAGAAAAGATTCTTATTCTTGTATATAACACAAATGACAAGAATGTAATAAAATAATTATAACAAAGGAAGTGGCGAACAATCAGAAGAAAAAAAAGTGAGCTAAACCAAGTTGTCAAGAATTCATTGGCTCAGGCAAAAAGTTGTACTCGGTCTAGAATCTTGTATGCTTCAATACCATGCTCCTGCTACAAAAAATCCAAAACACCAACACTCCCCGACATAAAAAAAAAAACAGATATCATAAAAAAGAAGGGACCACAATGTTGGAAGAATAGTATGTTAAACTCATTACCTCATGCCACAACACACCACTTTCATATGTTGTCTCTGTCTCCCAGATAACACTCGCAAAAAAAAAAAAGGAATTCAAAATTGCCGAGTATCAAACACGCAGAAATGTAAATTGTCTTTCTTAGTAGAAATAACCAAAATAAATAATACAACACAACCTCTAAAGACATGATGGTTAATGGACACAAACTTCCAGCCAATTTGCAAGTACTTATACCTAATATGAAACATGACAGTTTGAGCTTCCACCTAATACAATACCAAAGGAGCTATTGGGACTACATCATAAATCAGAAATAACAACATATACCAGGGAATTATGATGCCCAATGAAATCCTTAGAGGAATCGAATTCCTATTCTTATATATCATAAATAAGAGAAACAAACAATAAAAGAGTACAAGAATAACTCTCTTTAGAAGTAGCTCATCAACTCAAGCACGCCTACAAATTGATGAAAAATAAAGAAGGTAGTGAGAAGAGATATACAGGTAAGTTAACAGTAATTGTCAATATCACCAAATTAAACAAACCAAGGCTATGCTACAAAGAAATTAATTTCTTCAACAGAGTAAGCCTGATCAAAACCAAGTGTCACAAACTCACATGTCCAATAACTCCCACAGGACCTTTTTTAATATTCGAAAAGAAACACCTCGTTGTTTTTTAAAACCGCCGACAGTATCAATATTTTTGGACTTGCCATCAACTATAAGCAGACTGGTAATTTGAGATTGAGTAACCTTTTACCTTATTTTGATTTAGAATATCAATACAGAAATCAACAAGCATATAACAGGCCAATGTCCAATGCTTTATGAAAAACAAGTTCAAACAAAGTGGAACTACTTTAGCCAAGAAGACAACATACAGCTGTTTCAGAGTAGAGTTATTGGTAAGCCAAATGAAAACTGATATATCAAACGTGATAAAAGAAGAACGTGATAAAAGAAGAACGAATTCCAAAACTGAAACCCGCAAATAGAACCCGAAGAAATCACGTGTTAAATAATGACCTGTTTTATCTTAAGGCTCAAAGGATGTCCATGATAAGATAATCTTGTCACAGCTTTTGCAGTCCATATACTCCCTGTGACACCACAAAGTATAGATCACCAGATAAAATCATATTAACTGTGATAATATATGTCACAGCCAATTGCAGATTGATGCTCCATGTGAAACATTAAAAATTTGGGCTTCCCTACTTCGACAAATATCCATTTGGGAAAAAAGATTCTTAGTCTTATATATAATAAGAATGACAAGAATCTAGTAAAGTAATTATAACAAAGGAAGTAGCAGACAATCAGAAGAATAAAAAGTGAGCTAAACCAAGTTGTCAAGAATTCATTGGCTCAGGCAGAAAGTTGTGCTCTAAACTAGAATCTTGTATGCTTCAATACCATGCTCCTGCTACGAAATGCCAAAACTCCAACACTTCCATAACACACCATCAAAAGTATATAAATATCATAAAATAAATGGTTGTATCCCAACTTTTGAAGAATAGTATGTTAACCTCTGTTTTCACAGGCCACATACCGCCACTTTCATAGGTTGTCTCCGTCTCCCCTATAACTCACAGAAAAATCAAAGGAATTCAAAATTGCCAAGCATCAAACACTCTGAAATGTAAATTGTCTTTCTTAGTAGAAATGACCGAATTAAAGAATACAAGCTTTTGTATAGTATACAACACAACCTTTGAAGACATGATGTTAATGGATACAAACTTCCAGCCAGTTAGCAAGTACTTGTACCCAATATGAAACATGACAGTTTGAGCTTCCACCTAATACCAAAGGAGCTATTGGGCCTACATCATAAACTAGATAACAACAAACCCCAGGGAACAGATCGTCAAAACATACCTAAACCAAGTTGTCCAAATTAAATCCTAGAAAACATAAACCAATTTATTACATCTTATGCCTTACTAAGAGAAATCAAATCCCTGTGACGCTCACATAAAACTCGTGAAAGAATCCAGAAAACTAATTGTGAACAATTCAATCAGAGGAGAGATCACCACATGAAAGAACAACAACATCAAATTGCAGATTCTGGTACTCCAATTGCATATTCTGTGAAGGACACTCATTTGGGAAAGACAATTCTTACTCTTAAATACCCCCGAACAATAGAATGCCAAACCATGTTGTCCAAAATTGCTCAACCTCCTAAGATGCAAAGGAGCAATCATTTAAAACCCTAACAAACTAATAGTATACAGTAACTTACAAGGTCAAAACTAACAAAAAAAACCAAATCAAGAAATAAAAAAATCAACAGCCATGAATGCAGATCAAACAAGAGGAAAATAGAACTAGAAGAAACTGTGTATAACCTGCAACACCAATTGAAAAATAAATATTGAAAAATAAATATTGAAAATAAAAAGAATTTAATAAAGATCACCAAATCAGATATCAAAAAGGTTATTAGTTGGACAACCATGCTGCAGAAAAAAAAGTTCTGAAATCAATTTGTATGCCTTGCAATCAAAGGCCAGAAATAAAATATATAGTAAAGAATGACCCTTTGAAAAAATTTATTTAGCTATCTGGAGTTATTTTATGTTCTTGTTGTTGTATCAAAACATTCTAGAAATCCACCAAACTTCTCAGCTGTCAGAGAAACCAATAAATTCATCTCTTAATTGTTAAATATAAGTTATAGAAACAATTCTAGCACAACAATCTGTAAGAGCGTCAAAACAATTCTAAGTATGTTTGTGTGAACAAAAACAAGTAGCTTTAGAATCAAGAAATCAAAAGCACATCCTCTCCTGCAAAATCCAAAGAGGATAAAAAGTCAAGAAATCAAAAATCATATTCTCTCCTGCAACTTAAAAAGAGTAAATAACAAACCAAGAAATATTTTGTCTAGTAATCAAGAAATATTTTATCTGGGGAAACACAAACTAGAAGAAACACAAACTTCAACAACAGCTTCTAAAAGATCAAAAAACAACTTCAAGAAAGATATGCCCTCAGAATCGAAAACAAAAATAATTTAATAGAGATCACCGAATAAAAACAGTGTGATGTCAGTTTCATAAGATCATTGTATCACTACGCAATGCAAATCCATTAAGAAAATACAGCAATATGAGAAAACCTATCAAGACGCATTGCAAAACCATTAAGAAAACACGATCAGCAATTGAAGAAAACCTATCAAGACACAACGCAAATCCGTTGAGAAAACACAATATGAGAAAGCGTGTCATTTATCAAGATGCAACGCAAATCAATGGGAAAAAAATTGTTATCCAAATTTGATTTCCCTAAAGCCATTTTAATCCAAATTTTCATCATCATCGTCAATAATCCCAAATCAAGAATCACAAATTGCTGCAAAACAGATAAATGAATATCCAATGAAGAATTATATCAAAAAATTCTCAATATCTACAATTCGAAAAGCATATCAATAATCAAATCCCTAACAATCTTCCTCTTAGCAGCAGATCAAGAAAACAAGAAAAGCAAACTATGAATTCGAGCCATCACGAAGCAAACAATCCGAGCAACAAACGGGCGAAAGATATAACAAAACTATTTTTGGTATTTTTGAATGAGGGTAGAAGAGGTTTATATAGAAGGACGGGTCAGAATTAACGGCTGTGATTTTGCGGATGGAGGAAAATTTGACGGTTATGATGTAATTAAAATAAAATTGTTACACGTTTTTCTCTAAAATAAGGCGGTGTATATGAAATCATTTTAATTTGTATACTAAATATTATCATTTAAATTTTTTTCAATCTTAATGGTTAAAGATAATGTATCGCGGTGTAAAATTGTTTTACATCATCATTTAATAAGATTTTGTCATTTTATATTTATTAATATTTTAAAAATTAAAATATAATTTAGTAGGATATATAATGATAATTGATTGACTAATTTACATTGTCGATTCATATTTTTAATTTCTCTATTTTTATTATCTTAGTCTTATTTGAAATTTTTATAACAAAAATAAAGGTTATTAAGAAATTATTATAAAAAGATTTATATTAAAAATATATATTTTAAATTTTGTTATAATAAAATTAATATATATTTTTAAATTTTAACTCTTAATTTAAATCTTAAAGATATAAGTTAAAGTTATCTTAAAAATTATTAACTATATAAATTTTAATTATAAAGTAAATTTGTTTATTAAAATAATTTTATTAATAATAGTTATTAGAGTGGTTTCTATGTTGGGCCGCTCACAAGATTCAAAGAGCGAAAGTCAACAGAATAACAGAAATAAAATATAGATTAAATAGTTTTATTTTTCTCTGTAAATAGGTAAATCCATACATGAGTGTTTTGCTAGTCGTCCATATCAATCTCACAGTTAATTGTGGTTCATGCTTTCAGCTGTTAATCTCTTATCCTATTTAATAAGGAAAGTGTGTGATTTTTCAAGTATTCAAATCATTTCTCATTCATATGGAACTTTTCATTCTCATAATAATTTGAGTGTTGGAGTGTTAACCTTGCAAGTCAGTCCCTTCTCCACCACATCAGAAGCATCAAAATCACTGCAACAAGCTTTGCACCCTCATTTACTAATCAACTATGGATCTATTGGTGAGAAAATAGACAATAAACAGTCTAGAGACGGGGGGTTTTAATAGACCCCATCCAATTAAAAAATTCCTTTGAAAAATAGTTTGAAAAACTTTTATAAGAGTTTCTAAAATAAAACTGATTTTGCGTGGCAGAAGCAAATTTTAGCGTAAAAGGGATTGTGCTTATTGATTGGAATTGATATGCAACAACTCAAATAGTTCAATGCACATATAAGATGGATACGCAATTATGACCAAAATGTATAAATTAGCAAATGTATTGATCAATTGCTAAATTACACAAGAAGTGTGATTTAACAACAATTATACAAAATGGATTCTACAATCATTGTTTGAAATTACAGGTCTTTTGTTTTGATGTTTTTTTCAATTTGTGTGTATGTGCTATTGATTACTCGCGTATTTGTAATTTGTTCCTTATTTAATTATTCGTGTGCTTGTAACTCATTCACATTTGAATTGTATTATGTTTGCTTCAGCTATGTAATATTTCACCTTACGTCTCCTCATTACTCAATTAATTAGAATGTTGATCCAAGATATTGTGTGATCTTTTTTTAGCCTAGCAAGTTGATTTTTGTCTTTTTATCAAGTGTTACTTGAATCACAAGTTATAACACTTGAATCAATGTGTTGAGTTGTTTGATTCAAATCATGTACATTATATGACTCGAATCATGCATTTGGTAAAAATTGGATTTTGGCTATGTGTGATTTGATTCGAATTACAAGATGAACTTGACTTGAATCATAGCTTTCCATGCAAGCTAGAATTAGGCTCTGTCTAATTTAATTCGAATCACAAGTTTAACTTGACTCAAAGCACAATACAATATGACTCGAATCATGGTTTGCACTTGAATCAAGTTATGGGTTTGAATAATGATTCGAATCGTAGCTTAAAATATCCAAATTTTCACCTTAGATTTAAATAGTTGTTTCTTTGATCCAAGAAAAAGAGAATCTATTATTATGAACTTTTTCATGATGAAAGATTTGACGAAGCCTTAAGAAAAAAAATATCAATTTATCTTTCCTTCTCTAGTGTGTCTATTCCTAGCATCTTTGTATCTTTCTCTTGTTTGAAGAATAACTTTTTTAGTGTAAATTCATGTTAGATTGTATCTCTTTTTTTTATTACAATGTGTGTTTAATTTGTTGTTTAAGGGAAATCAAAGAAAGAGAGTTAATCAATTTTGTAATGATTCAATTTTGATCAAGTTCATGGTAACTATCAAGAACCATAACTCATTTTTCCAGAAACTTGAGAGAACCTTTGTGTGTGTTCTTCATTGACCTACATCTAATTCCTTATTGGTATCATATGAATTAGAGTGTGTGTTGTAATTGGTTTTAAATATATAGTCCGCCACCCTTAATTTTCATCATGAGGAGTGGAGTATAAAGGATAACCCTAAAAGTCAGAGATTCTAGATTGTTGAGTCGGTTCTAGACGAGGGGAAGGTGTTAGGCAACCCCTCATCTACCTTGTTCACAAGGATACTAGGTTTAGAAGCGTGTTTTTAGGAAATAGGGTTTTAATGATTTTTTAGGGGAAAAAGGGTTTTAATCTTAATTAGGGGGAAAAGGGTTTTAATCTTAATTAGGGGAACTCACCACGATTTTAATTGTATGCTTATGTATCCTCTTAGGAGGAATCAGAGTCTCATTTCGTAGTTCGTGGTTGGTTTGTATTTTTTTTATGGATTACGAGAAATATTTGAATTTCCCGTGTGCTTTGTCTGGGTGTTGTGAATAACTGAAATCCTTAGACTAAGCGCGCAGTCGATTTGAATATATTCGTAATCCTTATTTGAAAATTAATTGTTGAATTAATTTAATTATGAAAAATAACTTGTGACTGGTTAAGTATGTGAGGGAAAAGGTGAAAGAACTGAGTTTTAATGCTTGTAAAAAACCTATATGTACAAATATGTCATGCTTCAAACAGGTGCAAGTGAGAAACATCAAAAACAAGCATTTTTCTCAAAACAGACTGCATGAGCCGGCTCATGGAACCTTAGGTCGGCTCATGAGAAGAAGATCTTGGCTTGGCAACGTCTGGAAGGCGCACGCCTTCTCTATGCATCGACACATAGTCTGAGAAAACATGAGTCGGCGCATCAGGCAATGAATCGGTGCATGACTGGAGAAATTTCAACCTCTCTCGCTCGGGAAGGCACACGCCTTCTATACACCCTGCATGAGCCGACGCATCGCCATATTGTCTCATTTTTTCTGCTATGTTGTTACATCATGGGAATCACCTTATATATATTAGTATATATATATATATATAAATATATATATATATATATATATATATATATATATATATATATATATATATATATATATATATATATATATATATATACTATATATATATATATATATATATATATATATATATATATAATATATATTATATATATATATATATAATATATATATATATATATATATATATATTATATATATATATAT